CTTCCAAGCAGTTCATCCAATTTCCATTTAAATTGAGCTATCAGAGCGTGACACGGGTGACGCTTGGCCCGGCGCTCTTGCAGACAGGCGGCCGCTGGCTGTGATGCAGAGAAACCTGTTTACAGGTCATACGGGAGACACCCGAGTGGCTCGTAACGAATGAAATGCGAGCACACACCGCGTTGAGAGAGCTTTAAGAGGATTCAGAGAGAAAGGCTTCATAGTCAGACCAGTCGAGTGGACATGCGTCACTGTGTCGCAGGTCTTTGGTTGACTGTGGCTCTTTTTCTGACCCCACAATCTGAACAATCAGATGAGACGTGTGGCGGGTTTCTCTTTCTTCTGCACATTTAACATAAAATCTTCTTCTTCTATGGTGCTCAAATCAAAACAGTAGAATTCAGATGCATGTTTAGATTCTCCTCTAGTATGCCACCATGTTTTAAATTCTTACAAAGGTTTGCCGTCTCTGTTCTTAACTTTTGCTGACGACTTAAAGCTTAAGTTTTGTAGAAAATGCATTAACCCAAATGGGCCCTCATTACTTCCTCCCACACCTGTGTTTTGTTTTCCGTGCTCTTGGTAAAGAAACAAGGTGACGCATTTCTCCTGAACAATGTGAATAAATCAGCTTTAATCGAAGCAGTCGTGCTGATAAACATTAAAAGACTAATTTTCTCCTGAATATATGCAGCAGGATTCATCACACGCACCACAGGAGGACTCTTTTGTAGTTTTGCATCTTCTGCATTTGAACTTGAAGCGAATATTCTGTTATGACTGCACATTTACTTCAGAGGTTATCATGTCTGAAATCATTCATTTATTCTTTCATGTGACACGTCAGCGATAATTTAACTGACAAATGAGTCCTTTACATGTAGAACTAAATACTACATCATGAACCAAACAATAAAAAATGTTAGTAAGAGGCTAACTGGTTGGAAACTCAGTCAACTTTATAGCTCTGTACCTTTCGTACAGATGATACAATGACTTCGTCTTTCTTATCACCTCCGCCAAGGAGGTTATGTTTTCGGTAGCGTTGGTTTGTTTGTTTGTTTGTGAGTTTGTTTGTCTGTTAGCAACTTTACGGAGAAAGTTACAGACAAATTGACCTGAAATTTTCACCAGAGGTGCATCTCAGCCCCAGGAGGATCCCATTAAATTTGGGTGGTGATCCGGACAAAATTCTGGATACTGTGATCCAGAACACACAAAAATAAGGGTGTCGTTGGAATTTTCAATGCTGAAAGATAACCAATGGGCGGCACAGTGGTGTAGATAGGCGGCACTGTGGTGTAGTGATGCAATGATTCTGACAGTTGTGCCAAATGTGATTAAAAATTTGTGTGATCACCTCTCAAAAGTCAGTCAACAATCCTGGCATATTCTTTTCATGAAAAGCTGCAGACTGTTCGTGTGAGACACTTCCGTATGGACAATAACCTGCTGCTCATACATCTATCATATCTAAATCCATATATGTGGAGGTTGTTCTCTTAAAGGTGAGGTCAAAGACAGACTACATTTTTCGACAATTGGGTGTTCGATAGTGGAGGTGTCTGAGATCAGTCTTCTTTTCCAATATTCATGATTTCATTCATAGAAAATGAAAGGACATTTAAGATGTACAAGGTGAAAATCTTTCTTATGCAGCTCACAGAACATCTCCTTTTTGCTCAGCTGTTTGAAAGGTCTCGTTGAGTGGTCTTCTAGTTTTGCAGAGTATTTACTTCTCAGAAAACCAAAGCTTTGCTCTTTCACAAAAAACATCAAGGTTCAAAGTTTGACCTCTCTCTGCTCCCATACCCAGTACCCTGATAACTTCAATATAATGAAAACACATGGGAACCACGAGCTGTGTCTGTATCAAACAGCCTCCTGACTCATTTTGCCTCCACTCGTCACAAAGGCAGTCGCTCTGCTTCGTGGATCAGCTCAGACGGCTTGTATCCGTCATATTCCCTCTGCACAACTTCTCATAAAACCCACCCCATTCTGTATCATCGATTCATTCCTTTCTAGAAATGGGCCCCGTGTCACACCTATTGTTTCTAGATTGAAAAGGAGTTGGCCAACATCTGCTGTAAATCATAAACTCCCATTAAGCAGAGGAACCATCTCTTCACCATCAGCTCTCTCTATCTCTCTTTGTCCTCAATCACACCGTTGTCCTGCTTTTTCTGCAGCCTCAGCAGGCGGAGCCCTCCATCACTGTCTGCGCCATCAGAGGGAGGACTCTGCTTTGTGGACACAATGGTGTCGAGCACGACATTAAAACGTTTAACCGAGTGGAGGGGCCTCATAACCCCGCATGTGCACACCATCGCTCAGGTCAGGGGGGAGAAAATGGAGCTCAGATATGACACACAAACACATTATTTCTACTCAGTAAGGCTGGCGGGAGAATCTACCTGAGCACATATTTGACCGTTTCACCTCTGAGTGTTTTCCTCTGAATCAAGTTAAAGGGTCAGTTCACCCAAAGGGTCCATGTATTATCTGTCCATTGAAATATTCCAGTCAATCTAGTAAACGAAAAACAAAAAAAAACAATATTTTGTTTATATGTTTTTCTGTATAAAAAAAAAAAAAAAAAAATTAGTGTTTGTTTTCGTTGCTCCTCTCGACGTGGTGTCTGAGCTCCTTACCCTATCTCTAAGGCTGAGCTCGGCCACCCTGCGAAGGAAACCCATTTCGGCCACATGTATCCGCTATCTTGTTCTTTCAGTCATGACCCAAAGTTCATGGCCATAGGTGAGAGTCGGCACGTAGATCGACCAGAAAATCGAGAGTCTCTCCTTACGGCTCAGCTCTTTCTTCACCAAGACTGATCGGTTTCTCCTGTTCCATCCTACCCTCACTCGTGAACAAAATCCTGAGATACTTGAACTCCTCCACTTGAGGCAGGACCGCCCCTCCGACCTGGAGAAGGCAATCTACCGTATTCCGACTGAGGACCAAGGCCTCGGACTTGGAGATGCTGATTCGCATCCCAGCTGCTTCACACTCAGCTGCGAACCGCCCCAGCAAGAGCTGAAGGTCACTGCTCGACAAAGCTACCACATCATCCGCAAAAAGCAGCAACCCGGTCGTAGGCCTTCTCCAAGTCCACAAAACACATGTGGACTGTTTGGGCGAACTCCCATCTCCCCTCAAGAACCCGAGCGAGGGTGAAGAGTTGATCCGTAATTCCACAACCGGGACGAAACCCGTATTATTCCTCCTCAATCAATATTTTTTGGTTATATGGAAAAACAAAATATTGACTCATTTTTTTATTTTTCGTTTTTAGATTGAACGGAATAATTGATAATACAAATAGAAATATCTCGCTGTGAAAGTTTTTGTTTTATTTGGAAACTCTGTATTCAGTTTGGTCGATTATTACCACAACATATCACCACTGTGCAAAAATCCGATGATGTGTGCAGTGGTTATTTTTGCAAAATGAATAAAACCACAGGAGGGAGGAGTCTGGCGCCGACTGAGCGTTAATAATCCACCTGCAGACTCCCTGAAAGCTCCAGAGAAAACACTTTAAATCATGTTTGTTTAATCTGAAAACGCAGAAATGTGTCGAAATTACTGTCATCATTTACAGGTGGTTTGGTGCTGGACGCTTACTTGGCTGAATAGGAACAACATCCCGGGGCTCTGCAGTTGCCTGGCAACTGGGCCTGGCCAAGACATCGTCAGGCGTTTAGCCCTGGGTACATGGAGATTTTAGCACAGATTATTCAAACAACGGACCTGGTGTTGATGAGAGGTGAGCAAATTTGGATACGCTGTGTGGGGGGGTGTCTGTTTCTGCTCTTTTAGCTGAAACTGTTTCAATATTTTCACCATAAAATACCAAATTATATGAAGACCCTTGATTTTCAATGTTACGTGCTATTTTTGGGCCCTTCCTGTTAGAAAATTTTGTTTTATTCCTAATTGCAGTTTGTTTTTTTAACGTTTCAGCTAAATATCTATAAATGTGACACAGGTGGATAAATATTTAACACCCTCCAAACACTATAATGTATGTTTGTGTGATTTCCCCCCACAGAGAGTGAGTCTGTGAGAGGCTCATTTGGAACCAGACCCCGGTCTCCCACATTTGCAGTTCCCCTTGAGCTGCCCTTGACTGGAAAGCACTGAGCCTGAGGCGCTGGGCTCTCCCCCTCCAGGCTCCCCTCCCCCAAGGACGCTCTGCAGGTTGCCTTTCTGTCTCCAAAAAAAAAAAAAAAAAAAAAACATGTCCAGATACTTCTATTGTTCTGCGCTCTGATCTTCACACAGGTTGCTAAAACAAAGCCCTCACATTAATATTTATAGCTGCTCTGATGGGACGGGATCAATGGAGAGAGGAGAAAGAGAAGAGAGAGTGCGCCTGAATAATCATCATCCATCTACTTCCAGCCCTCTCTCTCTCTCTCTCTGCTCTCCATCTCTCTGAAGTAGAGCTGATGCTTTAGAGAGGAATGCAGCGTGTGAGCGAGGGATGGTAATGTGGTCTGATAGGAGAGAAGAATGGCTGTATCCCTGTTTGCACACGGCTGTTTATTCTAGCTTGGACGATCTCTGACAGGAATGTTATAGAGTTATTTTTACGACTGTTTCCTTCAAATTAAGAGCCAAATAAAGCCATACGTCACAGCTCCGTATCCTCATTTGCCTCCACAGGATTAAGTCTAACCTTCTGTGCTGACATCTGTTGAAATCGGAGGCCTATTCTTCTCTGTTCCGGTGACTTTCATTGCTTGTGATTTCTCCTCTTTTTCCCAGCTGTGGATGTGTGGGAGAGTGTTAAGGGTGGATTTGTAACAGACTCCCGGTGTCTTCATTGGCAGGCCCAGCATGGAGGATCTCCAAGATGAAAGTCAGACCGCCTGAGTCAGTCTGCTCTGCGTCTTCGATAGCCGGGCACGCTGCCCAGTGCTCAGTAAGCGAATTAGGTGGGCAGTAAGCCCAGAGCTCCTGCCCCCCTCTCTCACTCTTGACTGACAGTGGCCGGGCCGAGTGGTCTTTAACAGCACAAGGAGAAAGTTATTAATCAGACGTGTTCGCCTCTTACAGCTTTTCCCGCAGAGAAGGAGGAGGAGGAGGAGGAGGAGGAGGGTGAAACCTGGTGGTGTGATGAATGCTCTCACTTCGACGCGTTTCAAAAGTACAGTTTATCCGTGAGGAATGGAGCGGCTTGCACACAGGCAGAGGGGAAATTGCCTTTTCCTTTGACCTGCAGCCAGGGGTGAGGGAGTGAATGGAAAGCGATATGAGAGTGTCTGCCCTCTGAGGTGATGAATACGGTGCAAATTAGCGGAAGAGGCCCTTCAATCTCTGCGGCTGTGACTTCTCCCATTCTTACCGCTCTAAATTGTTCTCTGTCTTTTTGCTCTTTCATTTCTTCCTCAATGTTTCTTCATTTTTATATCTCCTCCAGCCCTGCAGGATCTCTGCGCTGCACAGCATTACAGCAGCGTTGTTCCGAGTTCGTCCGGGCTGACAGGGTGAGCTCAGAGAGGTCGAGAGGGCGAGGGCAGCATTTGCAGACGGAAAGCTGAGGCAGCACGGCCCACGGTGAGATCGCAGCGTGCAGCAGGAATCAGGAGACCTCGCAGACACAAAGAAGCGTGACCTTGAGACAAAAATCAACACAAATCCATCGAGTGTGGACTGCGGCTCAGAGGCCTCGCCACCCTGCATACATGTCTGCTCATTGGCATATGGTGTTTCGCTCAGAATGGATTAGACCGAGCCCCTCATGAATTATTGTTGAAAGATCAGAATATTGCACAGCAGCACTGAGAGATAAACAAGCTGGTGTTTTTACCGTGTCTGCTTTTAATTGATATTCATGAATGCATCAGCGACAAAAGGTTTAGTCTGAAGCTAAATATTAAATTCTCTTTATTGACTGTTATTATGGAAATAAAGTGGATTTTGTCGTGTGTTTCTGGTTCATTTCCGTACACAAGATCCATAATCTCCTCTATTTGTGCATTTGGCTTACAATAACATACTCAGAATAAAACTGCAAACAGAAACTGAACAAACTACTCCTCACGAAGCCTGTGGGACATGAATCTTTGAATCAAACGTGAGGGGAATAACAACACGGTACTGTGGGAGAGGAGGCTGCTTTACAAAATTCACGTGAATCCAACTGGACTGGGTCTTTATTTGGAAACTGTCCTGCTGGATTGACACTAAAGCCAACCCGGGGAGGTGGCTGTACAGTCCTTTTTCTATCCCTGCCACTTTGTAGTTAAATTAATTCCCCTCAGAAGTGAATGTTTTTGAGTTTAAACAGTATGTGCATACATTAAACGCTCCTTCACTCGTATGAAAATTTAGCTAAGGCTGCTTTAAGGTGGATCTAAAAACTTCACATTCTGAACTCCCTCACAGAGCCTTTGGCAGGTAAAACTTTAAATGGGCTGACATTGAACACCCACTGAACCGCATTTGAAATTCTAATGAAACACCAGGTTTCAGTTTTAAACATCAGGGTTGTGAGGAAAAACAATCCAAACGACGCACAAAAATCTGTCTAACCGAGCAGCAATCAAACTTATTAAACTAATTTCAATGTCTAAATTATACTTTACACAATGTTCTGGATAATTCTGTCACATCTGGGGATTTTAAACTCTAAATCTGGTTTCAGTTTAACTTAGCAGCTGGAAAAGGCCGAGGAGCTCAGGCAGAGCGTGTGGATGTTTGAGGCTCAAATGCAAAAGTCAAAATCTGCAGTTCAAGGTTATAAAGTTTAGGATATCTGACGGCAAAAGAAAAAGTAAGATACATGATACTGTCTGTAATAAGCTATGTTACTTTGAATTCACTCATGAATTAAATCACCAAGTCAGAGATAAACTTGATTGACAAGCTTAAGACCCGCCTCTAGGTAGATTGAGTCAGCGTTACTGATGGGCTTCGAAACGCCACGTCACGAACAAACGGGTGACGCCACACAGATTACATATGTCCACTATTCTTTACACTTTAAAGAGGAAAACAGCCAAGGAATCCAGGTTAAAACAGCACACACGTAAAGTTGAGTATCCCAAACAGCAAACTAAAAAAAACACCTTAAGAAATAGAATATGTACTTCTTCAACTTTTCTGATGTTGAGAGTCGCAGTGACCCAGAAACTGAGGTCATTTAAAGATGTTTTTTTAACCTCGACTTGATCCTTGTACCTGGGTACGTGAGTCCACAGGGGAATTTGCAGTTTCCAGTTTGAGATGTGTTATTGGAAAAATGCCTCTAGTCTGATGGTTGTGAGAACAGTGAGCAGAAGCAAGCAAATGTGTGGTCATAAAAAACAGAAACAGAAAAACAAGTTCACCAAATATCTAAACGAAGAAAAAACTAGAAAATAAGTGATTAAATAAGGAAGCCTGTTTATTTAAAACCATACAGCACTGAAACCTGCAAAAACTATATATATATATATAAACCGATTTTCGAAAGGTCTATATATATATATATAGTTTTTTTTGAATAGATTTCTGCCTCATATTGCCATTTTAGATGTCTTTAACAAACCAAACAGCTTGGAAATCATGTGCAGCTTAAGTTATGTTGAAATAAAAGAAATAAAAAGAAATAAAAAGAATAAAAAGAAATAAAAGATTTTCTTAAAGAAAATCTGCCATTTCAATATGTCCAAGCATCCTGACTCATAGCCACTTTATCAAGGTCTGTAATTAAAAAAACCATTCTTCAAGATTTCAGTGAGTTCAGAGTATTTTTGATCATGCAGATTACTCACCCTCTGTCAGCTAACATAGAGTGTGTCACAATGGAATTCTGGAGTAAGATGGCCGCCGTGTAGGGATGCTGGTCTAGCCTTTCTTATATACATCTATGTCTACAGGTAGTCTGTAAAACTTTGTTTGACCCTTGCCAGCCACCATACACTGCAGCTAATTAGCAGCTGTTCAGGTGCTCAGTAAATGGCTCCTCAAAATCTCACATCTGAGTTGCTTCAAGTTCAAAATAGTCTAATAAAACAAAACCGGCTTGTTTGGATGTGTGTGTGGAGATGATTTTCCAAAGAAGTCTTCATTTAAAGGATCAGAACCTGAAGGATTATCAAACACCTGAGTGTGGAGCAGCTTTTCCCTCCAAGACTGCACTGGAGATGAGTGAACCTGGACTCTGCTCAGAAAAGTAAGTCTGTTTCAGGTCAAAACTCTTCGATTGTGATTTAGCAGCTGGATGGATTTACACACTGTGCATGTTGGTTGTTGTTTGGAGCTGAGCTGCTGTGTGTTGGAGGTGAAGTGAGGTTTCACAGGCCAGTAGGCCAGACTCCCTCTGCTCAGGTTACCTTTCCCTCCACTGTTTCACTCTCTCTGTAAAAACAGCTGCTTGCTAACATGCCTCTCACGCAGTCAGCAGATGTTTTAATCCTGTAGAAGATGATTGGAGATATCCGTCTTTGAAATGAAAAGTTGCGAAACATCTTGATTTTCTACTTTTGTGACCAAACGCTTTCCAAGTTTAATTATTGGATAAAATAGATCTGTTTTTGGTGTTGTGGTGGGAACACATCTGCTGAGGGTATCTGCTCCCTGTCTGTGCCAGCTTACTGCTCCAGCTAAGTGAAACCACCACACCGTGTGTATGTAAATATGTGACTTTTGTAGCAGCTGGCCTAAGCTCTGGCATATGAGGCATATTCCCTTCAGTATGTTTCCACACAGCCTGTACTTAGATTGTACTCACTCATCACCACTCCTGAATGAAGGGTAAACCTGCGGGGATGACGAATGAAATGTCTCAAATTGGAGCTTAAAGTGATCATAAAATGACTGTTTTTCATGCTGGGAGTCGATGTGAGACGGTGTCTTCCTCTTCTTCTCTGACTACGCCGGTTGTCTTGAGAAATGATATACTCAGACTCTCTGCTGGGCGACTACTTTCCTGGGAGATGCCCCTCATTTTCTGAATTGCATATGATAATTTGCGAGGGAAAGATTGGAGGCTGATGATGATTTATGGTCAGCGAGGGAGCTGCAGCTGTGATTATCCCAATCTGTGACCGTACAGACGAAGTAAATGTTTGGAAGTGCAGCAGACTTCCATTTCAGCTCACTTTTAATGAAAACTCCGGAAGTGGTTTCTGTGATTTCTATCGCCTCCTTAAACATCTTGTCTCATTTGCAGAGAGCTTGCATGCCCTGCAGATAGTTTTACTGTTTAATACTGAGGTCCAAAACCACAGTCTCTTTGTGTTAAGTATCACTGCATCAGTGTATAATTGGCTCATTCCACATCCGTTTTAGAATCCAAAATCGGAAAACGGATAACGATTTGTTATTTCATTTCTCATTTTCAAATCAAAAATCGGAAAACAAATAACGGCCTATTTTTCGCTGTTTTGATTTTGTTTTGAAATTTAAAATAGAATATAAGAGAATGGAATTATCATGGGATTTTTGTTCTGTTCGTTTTTGGCTTGTATCATTTTCGATGTGTTGTGACCCAGAAGCTGTTGACTGTCTAATAAACAAACGTAGCATTAGTGATGTTTGTAATTGGGGGTTTTGAAGGCTATCAGTGATGTTGACTCGATCTAGCTCGTGTCCTAAGTCTGTTTTACTGATAATTTTCAAGCTTTCAAACTTATCTTAGGTAGGGTGACCATATTCTGAATCCCCAATAAGAGGACAATACTATGCAGGGGCGAAGTTGCAAAATTCACAGGTTTACAGGTCGGGTCGAGTGTTTTTTTTTGCGCTTCTAACTCAGTTAACAAGAAGACACTTAAGCAGTCTACTAAAAAATACTCATACAAAGTTGGGTTTATAAAAGATATATTCATTTATCTAAAGCATTTCTCCTCAACAGAATTATCAGTCACATACAAATATTTCTCCCTTTTCTTTCGCTTACCAGCAGACAGTGCATGCATGAGTCCCGTCAGTGGCTTTGCTTAGAACTGAGCGGAGGGGCACAGCGGCAGAGAGCACTGACGCCCCGCACGTGGTACATTTTTGTAGTATGGAAGGGAAAAATCCCACCTCCTTCGCCTCTGATTGGCTAGAAAAGCTGGAAACGTCCTCCCACGCTCAAGCCAAACATGGGCCTAAAACCCTAACCCTAACCCGACAGACAATGACGTTTCACAGCCAAAGGAATAACCAATCGGAGCCCAGCACTTCTAGCCAATCAGAGGTGAAGGAGGGTGGGACCTTCTCCTACCATCCTACAAAGAAAAATTTCGCACCCTGCACTGTTTTATAATAAAGTAAAACACATTACGAGGTTCAGCGTTAAACTCCACCTCTCTGAGTGTGTTTCCAAATGAACCATCGAGTGTGTATGGTAAACACAATGATCTGTGATGCAAAGACAAAGTACCCATTTCCGCCAGTGAAAATAAGGGCTTTTATACAAAGCCCCGGACATTCGAAGGATTTTATAAACTCCCCCTGGACTGGCCAGACAGCCCCCCAAAAGAGGAAGTATGGTCACCCTATTTTAGGTGAATTTTCATTTGCATTGATACCGTTGAGTTTTGGTCCCTATGCTGGACTAAACTGACCACCGGCAGCTGCTTTCATATCGATCTTCTCATCCACACCCCGACAAGCAGGAGAGCATATTTCCCCCCAAACCTTAAATCTATCACAAAATTAATGTTTGTCAGTGAACGCTGATCCTTGGATTTGTTCTTATCTGTAGAGGATAAAAAAAAGACAAAACAAAAGAAATGGTGGACATTCAGTTGTGCTGACATACGTACAAATCGCTCTGCTCCGGGAAGCG